AAAGAAAGAAAGAAAGAAAGAAAGAAAGAGAGGGAGGGAGGGAGGGAGGGAGGAAGGAAGGAAGGAAAGAAAGAAAGAAAGAAAGAAAGAAAGAAAGAAAGAAAGAAAGAAAGAAAGAAAGAAAGAAGAAACAGATCCCTTCGCTCTTCTCTACTTTTTAACTCTATTTAACACTGAGGACTCTCCATGTGTCATTGTAGAAAAAAACCTACCTTGACTTCCCTTTGAGTCTGAGCAGGATGTGGTGCTCAGTGGATGCGGTGGAAGACCAGGATTAGATTTTGGGCACCTCTAATCCAAACCTTCCACACTGCTTACCCTTACACTTTAGAAAAAGAAGCATTACAAAGTAAGCTCAACTCTAACCTTTCCTAGAGTTTTGGTAAGGGAGAAGAGAAAAAGAAAATAATTCCTGCTGTTTATTACAGTATTACATCTACTTTGTTTTCAAGATATTGATGCTGCTTGTAGAAAAAGCACAATCTTGAAGAAGCAGCTCGTATGAATGAAAAGAACAGGACCCATGAGTGAAGAAGGCTGGGTGCAAGTTCAGTCTGTCCCATTAACATGCTTTGTGACCTTGAAAAAGAACCCTGACCACCAAAAGATCTTAGTTTGCTCTTCTATAAGATGACACTGGAGGTCTAAATAAATTCTGTGGCTGCTTCTACAACCAAAATCAATGATGTTTATGCATCCGTGGATTTCTCAGTGGAGGCATATCCTGATAGAAGTCAAGTTTGTTCTAGAGGCCACAAGTGATTCACACATGTAAATCACGGTTCCAGACAGCACACTGAGACAGAATAGGACTTTATTCACTGGAAGGCACACCACTTGCTTCTTCAGACTTGAATTTTAAGGCGGCTGTTTTTTTAGAAATCCATGTGCAGGGTTTCAAAGTGACTCAAGCAATCATTTCACATCCTAATAGGATAAAGTTTATGCATAATTCTGTGTGACCCTTCAACGACTGACGTTCATGCCATGTTATTGTTAGCGTTGCATGTTAAGCTAGCAAATTTTCAATGAACTCTCACTGGCTTTACCGCAGACACAGATGTTAGGCGGACTCCTTTGTTCATAAGGTTCTCATTATTAACTCAACCCGGGTTGAATATTTGACTGAAGGAAAGGACCATATCATTATTTTCAGATTTCATTCTATGACTTAACTGGGCTACATCTGCCAGCTTTAGAAACGCCAAGTACTTCTCGGCGCCAGCCTTGGCGTCTTGTTCCATGACTACTACCCCCAATGCTTCAGTTTGAGGAAGTCTCCTCACCATCAAAACAGTTCAATAAAAACTTAAATTATGATTAAGAGTTACTCATCAATTGACAGGGCATACCAGGCTTGTGCTATTTATGAATTATTCCACAAAATATTTTAAGGCTAACAAATAGAATCCACATTCATAAAGGGGTAAGCTAGAAAGCCAGTTAAATGTTTTCATGATTTATAAAGTCTGTGTTCTACTTGAAACCATATATTCCTTTACAAGGTAAACTGGCATGCCACTGGATAATTCAGTCTGCATTAAATCTATTTTAAGGCTCTGGACAGCTTAGGGGTCATTCTGAATATAAATTTAATTCCTTTATTCACCTTGGGCAACACCTCACAGTGTAAATGTGATAGGAAGATATGGCATAGGAATGTCTGTTCATTATAGGGGAGGATTCAAATATTTAAAATATTGGCACTAAAGCCAGTTAAAAAATATTAAAATCACCCCAACTCCAAACACAGAAAATATTTTATAAGCCTGGGTAGAGATATAAATTAAAACAACAACATAAAAGAAATAATAAAAGGTCATGATATTACTGCTTCCATGTGTCTGGATCACTAACAATAATATAAGTGGGCGAGAATCATTTGAAACTGTCTTTGATGGTTATTAGAAAAAATAATAACTATGCACAGAAAATCCCAGGGGGTTACGTACAGTCATCCCAAATAATTCAAAGAAGAGGGACAGCTTTCCACTCTAAAAAGTTATATATAATAAATTTGCTTTAGCAATTCTCTCAGCATCTCATCATATCTCAGAGGACTAAGAGAACATGCCCCCTCGCCCATCCAACGCTTTATAGACATCTGTGACAAATGATCATTCAGCCTCTTGAATACTTTTCAGTTTTAATTACTATACATGGCAATCCAGTCTACTGTCTGACATCTCTAATCATAAAAAACATTCTGAAAACAACAACAATCAAAACAAGCATCCATGGGACTCCGACACTGGTTGAAGCCAATCTTCTAGAAAATTTATGCTACCTCATCAAACACTTGAGATTCAAGTCGCAATAGATTTCTCTCTCCGGTACACTATCTCCAGCTATTTTCAATGGTTGAGATCTACCTCACTCTTAGTCCTGTTTATCAGTCATCTTTGAGAATGGCATCCAGAAGTAAATACGTCAGATACAGTCTAGTTACAGGGTACAGTGGGACCAATATTTATGATGAATCAAAAATTAAATTTTATTAATGCAAACTGAAATGTCACATGAGAATTAGGCCTTTAGCAAGATACAGACACAACACAAAAGCCAAGTTATGAGCAGCCCTTCCAGAAACAATCATGGAAGAAAGATCGGTAGCACATATACTAATCCCCATACAACTCTAAATACTCGAAATAACCTTACCACCAAACATCACATCCTTCTGACCAAAATCAGGTATTAAAAAGCTGAATTTTATTTTTATACTTACCATGTTGTATATCTTTCATATCTAAATGAAGGCTAGACATTAATATTCCAACTGCTTGTGACCTTTTGTTGCTTAATAACTTGACCACCTGCTCAAAGAAAGGAAAAGGGGAAAATGTAATTTGAACTCCCAATGATATGCTTTATTACATGTTATTTTAATCCTAAATGAAGAGCACATAACATAAAGTCATTACTTAAAATATTCAAAACTGATTTGACCTTTTGTGTTTTATGACTTACACCTTCAAATCTATCATCTTGGCCCTTAAGCCTCAATAGCATGCTCTTTACTAGCCTTTTAAGAACCTGATCTGCCAACAAGTAAAATTTCTAATACTCTAGGATATGAGCTTCATCTCTGTAAAGTAACAATTACACATTTGATAATCTGCAGCCTGAGAGTTTAAAAATGTTCCTTCTGTACTGCCAGGCCTTGAAACGCCGGTCAACAAGTGAAGGATAAAGTCTATGTACAGAAAATCCATTAGATCCAATTTGAGCCCAAAATAGAAAATGTGCTTGATTCTCGTCCTTTACAAAACTCACTGCTCTCTGGCAGTCCCTCATGTTCTGCATTTGGCCCACATTTTGTGGGGAACCTTCCAACTAATTAATAGAAGAATACGAGCAACAAATCCAAAGGGCTATGTCTGCTCAATCTCTAATCTCGCTTTCTAGGGAGTCCTAAGGAGTCCATCAATCTGCACACCTCACAAGAAGTTTTCCTAAAATAAAGGTGGGCATGTTGTTATTGGACATACATATTTAAACTATGTTTTCCAGACACTAATATGCCACTGATAAACCCTGCTTATAAAACCATTATCCCAGGTCCCAATCTTGTGGAGGGGAGCAATTACTACTTATTCTCATGGTTTTGTTATAAATCTGCTTATAAAAACACTAGAGGAAAAGGGAAAAAAAGGTTATGCTCAGATTACCAGAAGTGACAGCTGCCCTAACGGCTATCACATTTGCTGACCTTGTCTTTCTTTTTGGTTTAAGTTGGGCCGATCAGTAAACTAATAAAATAATTATGCCCAGCTGTCACACAGAGTCACAAAGTAAAACAATATTCTTAATAGCAATAATAGCATTCTTGGTTTCCCAGCAAGGATGGGGATAAAGAATAAAACAAAACACTTTCAGAAGGACCAACCACAAAAACCTCATTCCTGCAAGCTTCCTATAGAAAGGAATAATACCCCGTAAGAGACCGTGCTTCCTGAAAAGAATATATATGTATGTGTGTGTCTATAAACACACATATTTTTTATTCTTTATTTAAATTTGTATTTATTTTTGAGAGCGAGAGAGAGAGTATGAGAGTGGGAGAGGGGCAGCAAAAGAGGGAGACCCAGAATCTGAAGCAGGCTCCAGGCTCTGAGCTGTTAGCCCAGAGCCCAACAAGGGGCTCAAACTCACGAACTGTGAGATCATGACCTGAGCCAAGGTCAGGCGCTCAACCGACTGAGCCACCCAGGCATCCCTAATAATTTTGATTCTTAATTTCTTCTTTAAACATTTTATTAAATTTCAGCTAAAATATTAGCTTAGAACTTGAGTATGAATCCATTCATACCCCAAGAATTTCCATCAATAGTGTTATCTTCTTCAGAAGTAAACAGAAACTTAGTATCAGAGAAACAAAAGGCATGTATTCTGTTCTCAAAAACACTTTCTAACTTCAGGTAAACGCAATGTGGGTCCCATCTATGATACTCTGACAAAATTAAATGCATTTGAATCCATATGTCAGTTGACCTCATGGCAGGGCAGACAGGCTGATTACACCCTCATAGGAACCACTCCATGGTCCCTGCCAGCCCTTCTCAGACCTTTTCAAGGTGAATTATTCTCATTTCACCTTAAACAGTGGCATACTTCACAGTTCTGTTCTTAGCACTTTGTTCTGTTCACTTTATACCTATGATTTCTCTTCTATGGACGTACCTGCCCACACTTAAAAATTCATTCTTGTAACTGTATCTCCAGTTTTACAGTATCCCACTTTCCTAACAGATATCTGCACATAAATTTCCACTAAATGTGTTTAAAACCAAACTCACCATTCATTCCACCCCAAAACCTATCTACCTTCTTCTTTTTTATTCCATATGTTGAGATTAAAGGCACTACCATTTTCCATCCAACTACTAAAGTTAGAAAAATCTAGAAATCAATCTAGACTCGTAACTCTACTTCATCTGTATACTCTGGTCTCTTAACAAGTCTTGTCAATCATAACTCCTTCATATCTTTGGAACCCACCCTTCCTCTTCAGCTCTATTGTCAGCATTTATTTCTATGTTATATCTTACATAAATCAATGCAAATATTTTGAAGTAGCCTCCCAAATGTAGTACAGTCATTCTCAAAGTGTGCTTCCTGGACCAGCAGGCATGCCCATCACCTGGGAACTTATTAAAAACGCCCACACTTGGGCCCTATCACAAACCTACTAACCAGAGAACGTGGGGATCAGATTTTCATCAATACGCACTTCAGAAAATCTTTTAAGTAGTTCTAGAATCACTGATGACCCTCGCTGCTTCCTGTCCTTTCTTCAAACTGATTTCCAAGTACCAGCTCTAAGAATTCTGATATTTGCATGTCACTCCCTTGCTTTTTAAACGAGTGGCTCATGTTTACATGTTAGTCTTTTTTTACTAAATTTTTTAATGTTTATTTACTCTTGAGAGACAGAGAGACACAGAGCATGAGCGAAGGAGTTGTATAGAGAGAGGGAGACACCAAATCTGACGGAGGCTCCAGGCTCTGAGCTGTCAGCCCAGGGCCCAACAAAAAGGCTCGAACTCACAGACTGCAAGATCATGACCTGAGCCAAAGTCAGAGGCTTAACTGACTGAGCCACCCAGGTGCTCCTACAGTTTAGTTTTTTAAAAAGTCATACAGATGTCCAGTGCATGAGCAAAGAAAATCTTTCTATTAATTTGTGTCATCTTTCATTTCTTTCACTAAATTTTTATAGTTTTCAGAGTAAAGACTGGAAGAATTAATATTGTTAAAATGTCCATACCTAAAGGAATCTACAGATTCAATGCAATCTCTATCAAAATACCAATAGAATTTTTCACAGAACTAGAATAATCCTAAAATTAGTATGGAACTACAAAAGACCCTGAGTAGCCAAAGCAATCTTGAAAAAGAGGAACAAAACTGGTAGTATTACAATCCCAGATTTCAAGACATACAACAAAACTATAATAGCCAAAACAGTGTAGTACTGATACTAAAACAGACACAAAGATCAGTGGAACAAAACAGAAAACCCAGAAATAAACCCACAATTATATAGTCAATTAATCTACAACAAAGGAGGCAAGAATAGACAATGGGGAAAGATAGTCTCTTCAATAAATGGTGCCAGGAAAACTGGACAGCTACGTGCAAAAGAATGAAGCTGGACAACTTTCTTACACCATACACAAACTAAATTCAAAGTAGATCAAAGACCTACATGTGAAACCTGAAACCGTAAAACTCCTAGAGAAACAACATAGGCAGTAATCTCTTTGACATGGGCCTTAGCAACATTTTTCTAGAAATGTCTCCTCTGGTAAACAAAAATAAACTATTGGAACTGCACCAAAATAAAAAGCTTTTGCATATAAAGGAAATCATCAATAAAATGAAAAGACAATGTACTGAATTGTAGAAGAAATTGCCAAATGTTATATCCAATAAGGGGCTAATATCCAAAATATATAAAAAACTTATATAACTCAACATCAGTCATCATCATCATCATCATCATCATCATCCAATTAAGAAATGAGGCAGAGGGGCCGGAGTGGCTCAGTTGGTTAAGCGCCCGACTCTGGCTCAGTTCACGATCTCACAGTTCATGAGTTTGAGCCCCGTGTTCGGCTCTGTGCTGACAGTGTGGAGCCTGGAGCCCACTTCAGATTCTGTTTCTCCCTCTCTCTACCCCTTCCCCACTCATGCTCTGTCTCTCTTTGTCTCTGAAAAATGAATAAACGTTAAAAACAAATTTTAAGAAAAAAAAGAAATGGGCAGAAAACCTGAATAGATATTTTTCCAGAGAGGACATCCAGATAGTCAAGGGATACTCGAAAAGATGCTCAACATCACTAATCATCAAAGAGATGCAAATCAAAACCACAATGAGATATCACCTCATACCTGTCAGAATGACTAGTATCAAAAGGCCAAGAAATAACAAGTGCTGATGAGGATATGAGGAAAAAAGAACCCATATACACTGTTGGTGGAAATGTAAATTGATACAGCCAAATGTGGAAAACAATACAAGGCTTAGTCAAAAAATTAAAGATAGAAATACCATACGATCTAGTAATTCCACTACTGGGTATTTACCCAAAGGAAATTAAAACACCAATTTGAAGAGACGTATGCACCCCAGTGTGTTTTACAGCATCACTTACAATAGCCAAGATAAGGAAGCAATCCAAGTGTCCCCCAATAGATGAACAGATAAAGAAGATGCGGTGGCTACATTCAATGGAATATTACTTAGCCATTAAAAAGAATGGGCTCTTGCCATTTTTGACAACATGGATGGAACTACAGGGGATTAAGCTAAGTGAAATAAGTTAGAGAAAGACAAAAACCATATAATCTCACTTACATATGGAATCTAAAAAAGAAAACAAGTAGAAATAGACTCATAAACAGGGAACAAACTATTGATTCTCAGAGAAAAAGAAGGTGGGAGGTTGGGCTAAATGCATGAAGAGAAGTGGGAAATACAGGCTTCCTGTTGTGGCATGAATAAACCATGAAAATAAAGGTATAGAATAAAGAATATAGTCAGTGATACTATAAGAGTGACGTACAGAGACAGATGGCAGTTCTGCTTGTGGTGAGCATAGTATAACACAAAGATGTTGAATCACTATGGTGTACACCCGAAATTAATATAACACTATGTGTCAACTATCCTTCAATTAAAAAATAAAATAAATAGGGGCACCTGGGTGGCTTAGTCAGCTAAGCGTCCGACTTTCGCTTAGGTCGTGATCTCGCGGTTCATGGGTTCGAGCCCCGCGTCAGGCTCTGTGCTGACTGCCAGCTCAGAGCC